CGCCCGGCCTGAGGAGGGCGCCAGCCGCTGGGCAGACGTCCGGCCCTCACAGCCCTGCGGCCGCGAGCATGCTCAGTCTCCACGTCGGGGTTGCCCTCCCGAGCTGCAAGACGGGATGCAACGGAAAGAGGGGGTCCTTTCCGGACCCCAGCAGCGGGGAGTTAAACCTGGAAGTGGATCCCAGGGCAACAAGTAGAGGCCGGGGCAGGCGTGAGATGGACTGGGCACCGTGTGAGATTGCCTGGCAATCCATGCCTCCACCACGACGTCAGCGGGGGCCGCAACCAGCTAACTCACCCATCATGTGCTGGTCTCCTTACTTTAAGGGGAACATGGAGGCGTAAAGCTGCGAGGGGTTCCGAAGAAAGAGGAGAAGAGATGCTGGGAGGCTAAGCTAGCTCCCATCTACCGAGCTCCCTTCAGGGGGTGTCTGACGCGGGGACACCTTAATTCTCACTACCCCTGTGTTCCCACGGCATGTCAGTCACAGATGACAAGAGAACCTTAGAGGAGGAACTAAGATGGGGACCTGGAAGGCCAGTGCTCATTCCATTACACTGGGCTATACTCACTCCAGTCAGAGACACAGGTTATATTGCCATCAGTGTGAGTAACCTCCAACCCAGTTGGGGGGTGGTTATAGGAATAAGGGAAAGACACTTGAAAGTAGGCAACGGGAGAGGTGACAGGTGTAGGAGATTACTCATTGTAGAACCTGAGGACAGGCAGGCAGAGGCCTGGAGCCCAGCCAGGCCAGCTGGGTGGTTTCATCCACACTGCATGCACACCCAGCATAGCTGGGGCAGAGCATGCCAGGAGAGGCCAGGCAAGAGTGGCTGCACCCCTCAGGAGCACTGGGATTCAAGTAAGAAGGTGGGACTTGATGCTGAGGACAGTGAGGACACTGAAGGAATTTCAGCAGGAGAAAGGCTGGATCAGAAGGTTGGCAAGGTCATCCAGATTGACCCTGTAGCAGTGGACAGGATGGGCACTAAGCTGCAGAAAAGGGCATGGCGAGGAGACCATTGCCACGGGGCCTGGGCAGGTTATGTCCCTGGTCTGTGCTTTGCTTATTCTCCCCATAGCACTCAGTCAAGACGGGAACAGGAATATTTGGTGAATGGGAAATAAATGAATAAATGAATTTGTTTTTCCAAAAAGAAAATACATACCTTTAATTTAAACTTATACAAATGTGATCAAAGTCATATGATGTTGGGGCTGCAGTTGTAGCTCAGTGGTGGACCACTTGCCTTGCATGTGTGAGGTATTGGGTTCCATCCTCAGCACCACATGCAAATACATAGATTAAATAAGGTTATTGTGTCCATCTACAACTAAAAATATTTTGTAAAAAAAATCATACAATGTTTAACATTGACATTGCATTTTTATTCACACTCATTTTTGAAAGTCAATTCAAGTTCTGCCCCCTCCCCCCGCAAGTTTTCCTCTACGTTTCCTAGTCTCTTGTAGAGGAGATGATCTAGGATCTTGGTTCTCTTGCACTAGAATAGGTTTCATTTATCTGAATGAAAGTAATCCATGATGCAGTAACTTAAAAGCAAAAGTTCAGAACATGTTTAAAGCAAAATCATTTTGTGAAACAAGGAGACAGACATACATGTAAACATATATTTGCACTGGCATGGATATGTGCTAGAAGGCTGTAAAAGACCTTGGAGAAATGTCTTAATTTGGGGGACTGGGTGGGGTGGAACTGAGTGGAAAAATTTGGCACAGGAATGAGAATTACATGTACATGTCTATCATACATTTTTTTGATTTTTGAATGAAAAAAATCACAGATATATATGTTTGGGTGTGTCTATGTGTACATATATATGTGATATACATACATTTTATACACATAAATTTGTGACTTGGCTCTCAACGAACCTTGGGATAGCATGATTGACTTTGCCCCAGAACCTCCTGCCCTGTCCTCCATATAACGGTATTACAAATTCTTACTGTGATGTCTTCCTCTCCAAATGCTGCTCATGGATAGACCAGCAGGACACCCATCAGACTTCCAGCTGGGATGATGGCTTGCAAGCCCAGAGATTCCCTAGCCCAATGCCCTCTCCTAGAAGGGGAATACTCAATGCCCTGTCCCCACCTGATACTTCCTCAGCCTGGTAGAGTGAGCCCCTGAGAAGCTAAGGGGCTGCAAAAGGTGTAGAAGGGAAAGCCCCTGCACCTGCCTTGCCCTGGGTGAGCCTAGAAGAACCATCTCAAGTGCAGAAACAACACTTGACTCTTATGCCCCCTCCCAGGGAATGAGGCGGTCCATGGAATAACAGGACCAGAAACCTAAGGTCATCCTAGGCTCCCTTCCCTCTCCTTCTCTCTGCACCTCTCATCTTAAGCATCTAATTAAATACCAACTGTCACCCAACCATGTTAATAGCTTTCAAAGTCACCCATCACAGGGCCCCCAGGAGAGGTCTGTTCTTTCCATCTAGTTCTTCAAGAGGCCCTTGTGAGTGATGGTGTGTCTAAGGAAACGGATGTAATCTTAACTTGATGTTTTGAGATAAATAGTGACAGATAGGACAGGAGGATTGGGGTTCTGGGAAAGATGCTGAACAGATGCAGCCCCAGGACTGGAAGATGATAGCCCATTTGAAAGAGGGGCACACTGAGAGACACACCCGGGAAGCTAATCAGGGGACACTCTGGCTCTGGAGTGTAGCTCTGGGGTGTGGAGCAAGATGGCTCTTCTGCAGAGATCTATGGGGCTGGAGCCTTTTCAGGGTGAACCAAAAATCCCAGCACAGCGGGCCACATTTCTTCTGTGGGAGGCAAGTTTTCAATGGTGACATCCTGTGGCAGCAAGAAGTAACTGTAAGGAAAGGCTTTCAGACTCTGCACACTCTCCATTTCTGGGGCTGCAGCAGGGGCAGGTTTAGAGTAGCCTCCCCTGGGGACCATGCATCCCCATGGGTTTGGGTCAGTTTAGGAGGCAAGACTTCCACAGAGGCAGGCAACTTCTCATCCTCTAATGGAAGAACTCAGACCAGGGCAACTTGGCCGACTGTGAAATCTGGCACCACTGATCTCTATGGACTGTCCTTGAAGATGGACTCAATCTAGTCATATCTCAATTTTCTTTTCTCTCAAACGAGGAGAATAAAATGCACCTCACAGGCTTGTTGTGGGTGCAAGAACTGGATAACACAGAACATGGGGCTATGCACGTGAGAGCTCTGATTATGTTTGTTGGGATGAGTTGGAGAAATAGCAGAGTGCTGTGTTCATTGCTCACAATTTCCATTCTGACCACACACTAAGCCACCCAGTTGGCCCAGGGTCATCCTATTCCTTATCTGAAATAGAGTAATTTCTTAAAAGCCATCTCCCTTCACACCATATCGATTTTTAGAATTGCCACTTTGATCCTCCTCTTTTCCTCTTAAGATCCTTCAGGAGGAATTCTGCACTTTCAGGAAAGGCTCTGAATTCCAGGCCTGGCATTCAGATGAGTCTAGTTTCTGCATCCTGCTCTGGCACATCCTGGAATCCTTATTCATTCCCCCAAGCCTTTTTCTGCTCAGGACTTTCTTTATGAAGCTGCCTCAGACCTGTGTGAGAGTTAACCCTTGCTTGCACTGAGCTGCTTGGAGCCTCACACATGCTCAGAGATCAGGAATGCTATTATTCAGACTCGAATGCATTTGCTACTATAGGCTGAGGAGTCTTTCAATGCAGATCTGGAAAAGCTAGGGCTTTTCTTTCCTCAACTGGTAGCACAGCATCTGGAACATATAGAAGATGTTCAATACATCTTAAAAATTGATTTGAATGCATTTGGGGCTTATTTTCTTCTCATGTTTGTCTTGTCTTGCCTGAAAACTCAAAATCAAAAGTTTGTTTTGAACATCTTTGTACTTACAATAGATGCTCAATTGCTGTATTTAATTTGACTGACTGAGCTGGTGGCAGTTGTGCACACCTGGAATGCCACTATCCAGAGACTGATGCAGGGGGACAGCAAGTTCAAGGCCAGCCTCAGCAACTTAGTGAGATCCTATCTTTTTGTGCGTGTGTGACCTGTCTTACAATAAAAAGTTCAGAAATGACTGGCAGTGTAACTCAGTAATACAGCATATGTAGGTTCGATCCCCATCAATGTAAATAAATAAGCAAACAAACAAAGTGATGAAATGATGATCTGTTTAATCAAGAGCTGGGTTGATTGGCACAGGGGTGGGAAGGGCCTTAGGAGAAGTGGATTTTGTTCAGCTCTGAGATGGGTCTTGTGCAGCACTGTCGTTCAGCCCAGAGCACACCACCTGTGTGTTTTCCCAGAGGGTCTGGTCAGTGCTTTATTTGGGCCACATGTGACAGTGACCACAGCAAGCTCTGAGCTGGTAGAGTTCTTACTAGGCACCAGTGCTACCCTAAACACTGTCCATCAGAATGGATTTCACCTTCACAGGGACCATAGGAACCAAGGAGAGGGTGTTGATGTTGACTAAATCCACAAAGCTACAGGGAGCTGAGCCTGGAAGGGGTGGGTGAGTCCATGTCATCACTACCTGTGTGCTCTCTTTGGTTCCTCTTCTGTGAGGTTTATATCTATAAACTGCACAGATGTCTTACTGTTATTACCTAGTTCAGTGACTCTGTCTGAGCATACTACTAATGG